GTTTTGCCATATTTGTTTTCTTTTATTGTATTGTATTTCTTTTATAATTTTTAACGCGGATGTTTGTTTCATTAATTTTGTTTTATTTTGCTTTTAACAATTTGTTGTTCATCTGCCGACCTATTGTTCGTTCTCGTTCCTATATAGATCGGAATCTATATGGCGTGTGAGTATAGATTGACAGAAAACGCTTCCTTCAACAAGCGCGTGAAATCGATACGGTTCCGTTCATATATATTCTGTGGGTATTTATTTTATTTTTTTACATTTTGCAGGTCGATTTGTTTTGCAAATGTTCTGCCTCGCACTTCGTTTTACTTTTTTTTCTGTCTTTTCGAAAGCCCTTGAATTTTTTTGCAGTATTTTGCCATTGCCAAAGGTGGAATTATTGATGATGTGTCATGGAAAGGTTTACATTTTTAACCTAACTAAGACTAAGATTTAAATAAGAAATACTTGCCTAGCTAAAACAGGAAAAAAATGTAGTTCAAGACAAAACACAATCAAGTATTCTATTAAAATTATAGTTTTCTTTAGAAACCAAACTTTAATAATAATTTTAAAAATATTTACCCAAGAAATCTTCCATGTTAAAGCATAAAAAACTGTCTCAAGTGTAACTAGCAGTTTTTTCCCAAGCTGAAAAAAAGTTTGTAGCCCAAAACCCTTTGAATTTCTTCATAAAATGTATGTAAAGTCTTGAATTTCCTTGTGGAATTTTGTTGATTGTTTACTTGTTCCAACTTAATTCGATTCGGGGTAAAAAGGCAATGCGCAAAAGGGAGGAAAAGCCAACCCCCTGCCACTGACAGAAAAGAGAGCCAGCCGGAGAAATAAATACGAAATGCCGAAGTAATCGAAAACCACCGCGTGGCGAAAAAGTATCTACAAGAACGTTCATACGTCCCACCAAAAAGATACAAGTAAAAATAAAAGAGCGAAGAGGAGAGTGGCCAAAGTGAGCGGCGAGAATGGATGATAAACAAAAATGTCGTAAAGTTTTTGCGTCGCAAAAAACCAAACCGAAACGGAGTACATATGTTTCGCTTTTTTTTTCTGATTAATAATATTAAAAAAAAAAAATTGAAGAAAACAAAACCGGTCAAACATTTGGCAAATAATCGGCGGCAGCTCGAATTCGTATATATTGTATGCTGATTAAATAAATAGCCAAAGCCTTTGTAAATTGATGGGAAACACTCGCGTCAAAACAAACAGAGAGAGAGAATCTGACGAATACCGAATACCCATAAGTTGGCAGTTGCTTTGAGTCAAAGAGAGAGCCATCGCCATCGCCACGCTCTCTCTGAGTGGAAGTGCGCAATGGGAGAGCGAGCGAGCGCCGCTCTTCTGTGTATCTGTATCTGGCAGCGTGCCTTGTCCATCAGTATTCGTGAGATACTCTCTGTAAATGGCGCTGCCGTTTCATATAAAATCCACGCTAATTGCACGCAGACGTTGAGTCGCCAGTTCAGCTCGCTACACGCCACATCGCTCTAAAAAAATATATATTTTAAAATATTTAGAGAACAAAAAAACACAAGACACTGCTAAAACAATTATTTTTATACAAAAAGTCCAACAAGAGACTTGCCGTTGTGAATTATATTAATTCGTGTAAAAGCAAGACCAAAAGTTGTTTTAAAAGCAATTACTAAAATCGAGAAAAGCTCGCTAAATCGCTAAAAGCTCTGCGCCGGTCTCGTAAATCTCACAAAAAAGCTGAAAAGCAAATTCAGTTATTGCTGAACTTTTGCCATACAAACACATCAAAACTGAGCCCCCGAAAAAGAAACGGCAAGAAAAACTGAGAAAAGCAAAAAGAGATAAAGAAAAAGAAGTGAAATACAGATATTTTTACCCAAAACTGTGATCCCCAAAACTCAAATTAATAAAAAGTGCTGAAAAGTGAAGGAGAATCAAGTCTCCAAAGTAACAAAAAGCATAAAAACCCCGTGAAAATCAACAAATAAAACCCAAAAAGCCAAATATGATGGGCACAATGTCGCTCCGCCAGCCAGAGAACTGGCTCTATGAGATCTGGCAGAAGGGCTACGACAGTCCCTGCTATGTGATGGTGCCCAATGCAAAAGTATGTATAACTAGGAAAAATCCCTACTCATAGAAAAAAACCCCTACCCTCCACCACCCCATCCCACAACCCCCAAAGTTTACCTTGTGTCTAGATGCAATTTTATTGATTTTTTCGTCTTTTTTGGCTGGCCATGTGAGGCTGCGCGCGTTTTAGTGGCGTTTCAATGTCAAAAAGTGTTTGAAGCAAAAAACAAAACCCACAAAAAAACTTGTCACTTGTCAATTTATTTTAGCTGATAAATTACTCTGCCTAAAATGCTAACAAAAAAGAGTTATACAGAAGGAAAACCGAGTCCTTTGTTCTTTTTGAAACAAAGGAATCCAAAGAACCACATGATATTCATTTCTTTTCTGGCTACCTAAGGACCTCGAACAAGTGTACTCTTAAAAAAATAAAAGAAGAATAAAACCTCGAGTGTGTGTGCGGTGGTGGTGTGTGTGGCCGCCATGTTTATTTGAGAAGTGCAGTCGAAACCGAAAAAAATAAAAACCGAAATGAGAACTGCATATGAGATGATTTTCGAGAAGCGAGAAACGAGAAAACCGAGAGGAGAGACGTGTTTTTTGTTGTGAGATACCTCAGTTTAGGAGAAGGCAAAGAAAAGCGCGTGACCTGACCCCATGAAAACCCTCTCCACAACACGCTGTGTGTGTGCTGTGTGTATCTCGGCGAGAGTGTGTGTATAATTAGCATACCAGACTTGGTGGTGATGCGTTCTCTTCTAAATGACTTCTCTATATATATATACAGAGACCTTTCCTATCTCGGTTTTATCAGCTTATCTGGGGAGGTATAACCCTCCATAAATTGTGCAAAAACCTGATAATGCCGAGAGAGAGAAGAATGGTAGAAAAACAAAGTTTTTTTAGACACACCTGCCTCTGTATTTTGTTGAAAAACAATTTAATGAACCATATTTCGAGTTTTTTTTCACTCTTTTTTTTAGTGTACCTTTTTTGCACCTTATTGTTAACAAGCCGAAGCAGTTTCAACCGGTTTGCATTTGTTAAAAGCGGGTTGATATTGTTTCCGAGCTTGCTGTTTTTTTTTTCGCTCTTTACCTTTCCAACTGATTTCTGTCTGCTGTCTGCTCTTTGGGTCTTTATCAACTTGACTTCTAATTTTGGTAATCCGATTTCTGTCACTCTTTTTGCCTAAAATATTTTATTGATCGTGCGTGTGTGTGTTTGCGCTTTTCTAAAAATACAATTATGTATTTTTATAAAAATTATTTATTAGCTGCCGCAGAAACAGGCGAAAAACGTGCAAAATATAATTTTGTGTTTGCTCTTTTGTGTGTTTTTTTGGCACCGCTGCCAGAACATGCGACTTTTTGATGGCTTTCCATGCCTCATCCTCATGCTTTTGGTGGATATATGTATGTATTTATAATATGGCATATCGTATAGGATTTGTAGTATGACTAATGGGCGAAATGCTCGGAGGGTTCAGAGTTCTTCGATTAATTGGGTTTTTTTATTTCAATTTTTTAAGAAATTTCTTTATTTTAAATAAAGATTTTCCTTGCCTCTTTTTTATATCCTGCTTTGGCTTTATTTTTCCTTTTTTGAAATTTTAATGATGGCCCGGCTGCAGCACTCTCAACTTTTATTTTTTCGAGCTGACTGAAAAAACCAGGCCACCAACAGCAGCACACACACAGTAAATGTCGAAAGAAATTGTTGAAAGTGAAGACGACGACGAAAGCACTGCCTGTGCCACAGCATCCACAGCCAAAGCTGACTATTTATAGAGATCGCATGTGGAGAGTCGCATCTTTGTCGTTGTCGTCGTTGTCGTCGAGTCGGGAAAGAAAGAAAACTCGACTCTTCATGAAACGGAACTGCTGGCAAACGGCGAATGTCATCGACAGCAGCCAGCAACAAAAAAAAACCACCTTTTTAGCCAAAAAATGTCGTCGCTCTATTGACGTACATTAAAACTAGGAAAATTCACCTGAACACGTGCCATTAAATGCACACAAAATGAAAGGGAATGGATGCGATTATTCTGGCAAAAAAAAGAAAGAGAAAAATAAAAAAATGTTTGCATGCACACGCGTTTTCCTTTCGACTTTCCGCCTCTTTAATAGGTTTATTAAATTTTCACATGGTGCAGTCAGGTGAGCCATGAATATGGATGGGATGTTGTATGTGTGGCTTTGGTCTGGTTTTGTTTTTTCCCCTCTTTTCCTTTTGCCCGATGACGTGTTCTTCTGTGGCATTGACAATGACACGAACACATTTTTGATTCTTCGGGGAACCATTTACATTTACACGGCAAATAAAAATAAAGCCAACAGCAATATAAAGCCAACACGCCACACTGAACAAACATTGTAGCAAAAATTTGATTTATGAATGGCCTGAAGACCCGCTGAAATGTTAAACGCAGCAGCAGCACCAGACGCTGTAATGAGTCAGTCTCTGCAAGTGTGAACAGGATGTTAGTCCACTGTTAATCTTTTTTGCAAATACCTGTATTTTTTTACCTGTATAGGGATTACAAGAGGGTATACAGACGGGGGATTATGGCAACAACTGCTCTGAAAATATAAACATTTACAGTCTCTGTAGAGAAGATAATGCAATAAAGTTATAAATTAAGTGTAAAAGCAAATTTATCATCAGTTGCCAGGAAATATCTTTGTGGACTCTTAAAATCTAATCTTTTTCTTTCATTTACAGTTATTTTCAATACAAATACTAAATATTTAGAGGGTTTTATTGATGTGAAGATTAAGAAAACGTGAGAATAACTTGAATTTCGATTTGAAATTCAATTCAGAAAAAGAAAAAAAGGATGTATCCTTAAAGCAAAGACCAGATAATTCTCCTAAGATCAAATTTCCTATCAAAACCCCCTTTCTAACCAACATTTTCCCTTCTTTCTCTTACCTTTTCAGGATCTGGTCAAGTCGCATCTCATGATTGCGGTGCGCGAGGAGGTGGAGGTTCTAAAGGAGCGCATCTCCGAGCTAATGGACAAGATCAGTAAGCTGGAGGTGGAGAATAGCATTCTCAAGTCGAACATACCGCCGGAGACACTGCAGCAGATCCAGATGCAGCTCCAAATTGCTGGCAGTCAACAGCCGGCAGCAGTGGCCGCTCCCCCGGCCACGCCAGCCATCCAGGCACCGCCGACTTCTGCCCCAACTGCCGCAGGACAGGCAGCAGCAGCAGTAGCTGCGGCGGCGGCAGGTGCCGTCTCAGCTGTGGTGGTGGGCAACACCGGAGCACCGGTTGTTGCCACTAGTCCAGCGTCCACGGCGGCGCCCACGAGCATTCCCAATGGCAGCGCCGAGAATGGATCCGTCTCGGGGGTTAGCAGCGGCAACAACAGCGATGCTTCGGTGGTGGAGCAGGTTACAGCGGCGGCAGTGGCAGCAGGAGCGGTACCCACAGTCAACGGACCCATGTCCTAAGCTGGGCCAGGCTCACGTAACTCGGTAGTGTTTGTTTTTTAACGCCCACTCGGCTGGGTTTGAATAATGAACGTCGTTTTTTATAAGAATGAAAACACCTTGTAATGTTAACTCAGCTTTGTCCCCTTCTAACTCGCTCGAAAAACATGATGATGATGAGGGAGATGGCGACGAAGCCGAGGAGAGCAGCGAAAGTATTAGGCCACAGAGTAGCAACAACAACAACAACAGCAACAGCAGCAATAACAGCCAGTTTACAGTGGCTAACCAGCGGTTAAATCTGCCTGTTATGTTATTGCTGCTGGTTGTTAATGATGTTTGAGCTGTGTTGAGCTGCTGCAGCCGCCGTTTTGTTAATTTCTCGATTGTGATATTTGTTTAACACACACACACACCTACACCTTCAGACACACACACACATACATCAATAAACACACACACACAGATAGACTGCACGCTAACAGCGACTGCGGCTGGCGCTGTTAACGTTTGCTGTTAACTCGCGATTAGGAGTTTAATATATTTTTTAACATTGCGCTGCTGCGCTGTTCCTCTTATTTTTTTGTTTAATACTTTTTTAGTTTTGTTTAACCGTTTGTTTCCGTGTTGTTAACGCTACGAATAAAAACATGTAAAGCATAAAAACACACACACATAACCCACATATAAATGTACTGGCTTTCGAAATAATACTTGCGGAAAGTAGAATTTTAGCCATGAAAATCAAAGGGATATCAGAGAAAGAAAGAAAGAAAGAAACCGGCAGCAGAAATACAAAAATAATAGAGAGTGCTTGGGAAAAACCAGAAATCAGGAGGGAAATTAAATGAAAAACATGTGATAATTTGCATTGTGCAGTCAGAGACATAAGATGTAAATTGTAAAAAAATGGCAAAAAAACAGAGAGAACGGGGCAGAGGATAAAAAAGGATAACCCAATTTCCAAACACAACTAACTATGATCGATAAATACAAATAATCAATGAAATACATGCAAAAGGCCAGCTGCTATTTTATAATTTACTTTTAACTCTTACTTTTATTGTGTAAAAAGAAAAAGAAAAACCAAGCAAAGCAAAAGGAACACAGCAAATATTAGTTACATCATATAAATATGCATGTTTCAAATTTAAACAAAACACGTAGAAAATTGTAGTAATTCTAGCATATTTTCAAGCTATATATTTTTAACAACACAAGAAAACATATTGTAAAGCTATGAAAGAAAATCGAAAAATGAACAAGAGGAACCACTCGAAAACCAAACAAAATGAAAGCTTATCGTAATTGTTTGTTAAAGTCTTAAAGCATCTGCAAAATACCTGTAAATATTGTGTAAAACTATCTAAAAAAACAAACAAAAGAACACACACTTCCAAAGTCACGATGTGCAGATCCCATGAAAAACGAAAAGCAAAAATTTGTAAAATGATGATTAGAATTCTTGTCCTATTATTCTTTGTTGTATCTCGTATTTAGTTGATAACTCCTCATATTAATCTTAGTTTGGAAAGCTCCCCAAATGCTTATACGAAATCTGTTATAGGATTTTTTTTCCCCCATTATCCTTGTTTGTGCCCCCATCCCCAACGCACTCTACACGACCGACAAATCCTAAAAACTTGTATAACTATAAGTCAAACAATGTAAAACTGCTGCAGCCATGAAATGAAAGTGTTGACAACATGAAGGAAGAAATCTCTCTGAAGGAGATTAGAGGAGCTGTGTCCCTCGGTCCGAAGTTGACGGCCCCGTAGACGCCAAGTTTTGTGCTCAGCCAAGGTGTGAACTCACTCATGGGGAATGCCAGGACACACAGGATCCGGCCCCAGAGGCACACGAGCAGCCTGCGGAGACTTTGATTGTCTAAGGCTTGCCTGGCAAAATACACAAGAAAGAATATAAAGAAGAGCTACAAGAAAGCTACGAACTAAGTGAAGTAGAGCCAAGTATAATACTCCAAACTGAAGAGCACAAAACTAGCTGTCTACGCGGCTCAATCAACGGAAGGACAGAGCGACGGACAGACGGACAAACGGACAGAGAGACCACAAACTATAATGCCATCCCCCCTGAACCCCATAGTAATTCTGTTGATAGTATTTCCCTTTTATGATTTGTATTCCTATGCAAAACCATCTTCTTCATGCGCTTCATGTTTAGTTTTTTTCTCCATTGAGTTATACTATTTTAAGTATCTTTTTAAGCTAACTATTAATTTATTAATTAGTTCGTAAGTGAGGAAACAATTCAAATAAATTTAAACGAAATAACTGCAAACAAACTATATTAAAATAAAGGAAAAAATAAAACTATATTGAAAACAAAAATATTGCTCTTGTGTTTTTTATTCAACGAAGCTGGCGTTTCCGACCCTATAAACCATATATATTCTTGATCAGCATCAATAGGCGCTACTTTCTGGCATATTTAAAAGAAAAAAATTTTTTTTTTAATTTTTTCAAAATTTGATAAGGGGTTACATCATTAAAATTCTCAAAAATTGACCAAAAATTTGATTTCTTAAAATTTTAAATTTAGTATGCAGATTTGTTAACCTAGAAAAAACTGTCATAGAACAGTTTTCCGAGTTGAATTTGATGCTTTTTTGACGGAGTTATGCAATTTTTTAAACATTTTGGGTGCGAATAATTTGTGATTTTGGTTTCACAGTTACCAAAGACATAAAAATAATACTAATAATTAGCTAATACTGTCTTTTGTTTAACCCTTTTTACAGCAGTTCGAACTCTTGGCCAAACAAGGTTTTTAGTTTCTTATTTTTATTGCCACGCGCGTAAAATTTTTAAAATTTTAAAATTTTACTCAAACCGTATCCGCCGAAAAGCATGCAACATTCTTATTTTACACTAGCTAAATATTTTGCAATACGTATTCTAGATATGGTTTAAATATGTTTATGGTTTGGTTAATATAATGAAGATAATACGAAGAATATAGTTCGGATATACCTTAATAATCTGTCAAAGTTTGAAAGGAGATGTCGTTCTTATAATGGATTAATTGCCACCTCGTACACTTATACCACCTTCTGTCTGACCAATTAGATACTCATCCTAAAAGAATGCCATATAAAACTGCATATATCCTTATCAGAACTACATAAGTTATTCGTTCTCGTCCAGATAAATATACTTATTTGCTTTTACGACAAGTTTACCTGATCTTTACCTTTTCTGGAAACTTAAAGAATGCAGCCTGATTTTTCCTTTGTATTAAAAAATTTATAATAATAACTTATACAAATTAATAAACTTTTTTTTTCAATGGAATGAAGAATAACTTTATTTGTTCAAATGATTTGTATTTGCACATCGAAACTTAAGCTTAGAAATCTATTAAAAACTCATTTAAAATACTTTTTGTGGCCTCCTTAGAAATCTGTTTCAGGGCTTTGGGGCCTGGCCTCATCCGACAGCCTTTGGTGCTGGGTTACCTCTGGATTTGCAGAATGTGAGCTTGTGGGAGCTACTTCCTGATGCACCTGTTGTTGAGTCTGTGGAAACACAAATGCCTGGGGCAACGCTTGTGGCTGAACTTGTGGCTGTGTGACCACCACATGATCGGTATCCACGGTATCCTCACCGCGATCTGCCTCCTGTTTGGGAGCATTGAAGGACTTCAGGTTGCCCAACTGGCTACGGACATCTGACTCGGAGAGGAGATGCAGTGGGACATTGGCAGGCACTGCCAATCGTTTGGGACTGGTGCTGCCATCATCCGGCTTGCGTCTGTCGGGAGGGAACACAACCTGTGCGTAGGTCACACCACTGCCATTCGGCTCTACCACACTCTGAGCTCCACCCGATGAGGTTGTCGCAGAACTGGGATTCCTGAAAACGGAGATTGTTCCTTGGTGGTTTTCAGTTTCCTGGGGTGCATCACGGCGTTGCATTGGCGAGGCCTGGGCCAAGGATGTGGTCGTGGTTGTCACTGGACTACCGCCTCTCGGAGCACTTCCGGAGACTGTTGTTGTGTCCTCGTGTGGAATGGGGGCGTATAGACTGGGCGTGTAGTTGTTATCCGTCACCTTGCAGTTGTACAGGTTCAAGCCCTTGGCAAAGACATAGACAAAGATGTCAAAGAAGATGCTGGCCAGGATGAGCGAGGCAGTAAGAATGTCCATAATGTTGCCATGCTTGGGGGTTTCCCGCAGCAGACAACGCTCATAGTTGGGAGCCCAGTAGACACAAGTGGAACCTGGGTCAAGGTAAGAAATTAGTAAGAAATTATACTTTTCCAAAAAAAATACATACGTGTCACCAGGTCGTAACTAAGATGCACTGGAACATAGGCAAAGAGTCCCACGATCATGAGCTCAAAGGCCAAAGCCAAAGTCTTATCCTGAGGCAGAACAGCCCTCAAGGTGATCAAAGTCTTGCCTATTGCTCCGATGCCCATAAGAAAAGCCACCGATATGCTCATAATCTGGAATATAATTATGGCCGACTGGCAGCTGTCGGAACTGCAGGCGCCAGCGGTGGCTCTCATCTGGCCAGTGGAGTTCATAGTCTGATCTCCGCTGCAGCTGCAGCCCTCAAACAGCTGGAAGCTGTTGATGGAGGTCTGCTTGGAGCAGCCGGCATAGCAGGGCGAAAAGTAAGTGACCGAGCCGTTCTCCGGACAGACGGGCATGAAGGCAGTGGGCGTGCACAGGCACTGGCTAGAGCAGTAGGGCTGGCTCAGTTTGCCGCCCACAATGCCTGCAATGGCACCCACATCGCACTTGACAAAGACCAAGCCCACGAAGATGGCCACCAGGTGCAGGCTTAAACCAATATTGATTCCAGTGATGGTTCGAGCGGAAAGTCTTGCCTTCGAGATGATCAAACCACTGATGAGCATGCCCACAGCCATAACTGGCGGCTTGAGGAAGTAGGACACAAACGCCGAGGTCCACTCCTCCGTGAGGCCATCCTGCTCGTTGTAAGGCAGGAAGAAGCGACTCTGCAGGTAGCTCTCCTCCTGGAGACCAAAGTTCACCACGGCACTCTGCACACACATGATGCTCAGCAGGTTAAACATGAGCAGGCGGTTGTTGAAGAGCCGCTTCAGCGATGGCCAGAAATCGGAGTCATCCAAGTAAGTGGAGAACTGGCTGCCAAAGGCTCGCATGTTGGACTGTTCGATGATCCGCTGGGCGGCTTGATGGATCACTGTCTTGGGCAGCCGCTTGGGGAATAGTCCCAGCATCACGGCTCCCACGAAAATGAAGGGAGCGATGATCACCCAGCCGAGCCACCAGCCCACATGGGTCAATCCCACTCCCAAGACCAGGAGCGAGCCCATTTGCTGGCCAAAGACGCGGGCAGCCAAAGCGGCTGCTATCACCGCCGGGCTGTCTTGCGAAAGTGAATTGTCATCAATGTAGCTCACACCCAGCGTGTAGTAGGCCAGTCCGCCCATGCCCAGAGCCAGCTGGAGCACGAAAAGCATGGCCAGTGTGAGGGTGCTGCTTTGGGCCTCGGTCAGCGTCAGCTTCTGGAACTGGGCCAGCGAGGTGGCGCACAGATTGGCATCCAGCAGAGCGTCCTTGGGCTTGGCGCCCTCCGCGCTGAAATGGTACAAATTTATATTAAATAAGCTTGTAGATTTTGTAAGCTCCTTTGATACTTACAAGTTCATAATGGAGGGAATCACGGAGACCACGCAGGTGACTGCCTGCAGCATCAGAGTGCCCACCAGCCATTTGATGGGATGATAGACATCCGCCCAGTAGGCAAAGGCCAAAGCAAAGACTGCCTGAACAAGACCACTGGTCACCAGCAGCCAGTCTGGATGAGGGGAGATGGAAAAGGTATTAATACAGCGTAAGCAGGTGTTTGTATTTCATGAACCCTTGTATTCCCAGTCTTATCTAACCAGGCGATATGACGTATGAGTAACGCAACAATAACGGACAAAAGGCATTCTATAACTGCTGTCAAACTTTTATTGAGGGAAAACCACTTCCGTTGGAAGGGGAATGCCTTACGAAAGAGAGCATTTCTTTGGTTTCTAGGAACTAACAAAAAAAAGGAGGGAAATACGTATTAACTTTTGTTGAGATTATGAATTGCGAATCCCAGTGGCCGGTGATGACGCATACAAATGTCCACACACTCATAACATTACAAGCAAATTAAAAAGTTTAAGGTTGTTATATGAACTATTAGATACCCTTTTCTTGGAGGTGCTTGTAGGATTTCTAAAAATAAATGGGGATTTCATAGATAACAACTATGGGGTTTGTATTATTATAACCAAAAGATAGACATATAAATGGTTGTCATAAATATTAATACCACGTAGTTGCCAAATTCAACCTATCTAGGAAGTACATTAATAAAATATTATAGTAAAAATATATACAAAATATATAAAAAATAATTCTTAGTAATTAAAATACATTTAAATTCAAGGTGTATGAATTTTCCCAATTTATTTTCTGATAAAAGTTAAAAATTACCATATTATTCCCTAAAGAACTCACTTTCCTTAGATTTAAAATATTTATACGTTAAGCAAAGCTCAATTAGAAATACCTGACACAAAAATAGAGCACCAGACCCACTCACAATCATCAACACTATATCGCAAAACTGATAACTGAACAGAAATCTCCACGTAGAACCCGGCCAACACCTCGAAACTCGCTCCGCAGCCGTGTTAGCATTTTCATTCTCGTATATTTTTGCGATAATAACCTAGGGCCTTACTCACCGACTATCAATGTACTGTATCCGAATTCGAGGGCTGCCTGCTTGGCCGAAACCCGGAAATAGGACTCGCAGACGCCCTGGAAGATACCGGAAATGGCCAAAACCAAGACAAAAGTACGCAGGCGGGCGAACTTCTGGCATCCTGGGCCGCGGCACCAGCCCAAGCCCTTGATTCCACAATCTACACTATCTGTGTGGTAGAGAAAATTCTTTATTAATAGCACGAAATCGGGGCTGATGATCCTCAAGATTTGGGTCACGCACCATCGGGTATATTGTTGGCATTGACCGCTATCTGCGATAAATCGGAGTTGCGGGTATTGTGCGCCATATTCGTATTCGATTTTGGTTCGGGGTTTCGATTATATTCACTTCACTCGTTTGTCGTATTGATTTATTGATAGCTTTGTTTTTTTTTCAGTGGCCCTGGGGCTATGGCATCTTTGCCAGGCTAAGACCAAACGCACCAACGTCTATTCGAAAGGAGGAACGAGCGAGAACTGTGGAGCTCTGGAATGGCCAGAAGCACCTTTCGCTCTCTGGGGGATTGATAAGCAGCCAGCTGTTATCTTATCATTATTTATTTTTCTCTTTTTTTTTTTTGGGTTTTTTATTCTTGGCTCTAATGGCAACTTTATTGCCACCGCTTACGCATGGTTTTGGATCGTGGCAGCATGTTGCAGCAACAAGTGGCTAAACATTTGTGAAAGAGAGGTTTTTTTGAAATTTGGGAAATGGAAAAAGCTTTTTGAAGAACCGATATTACAAAACAGATTGGGGATGGCATTCTATTATTGAAAAATTCACTTTGCTTTAGGAAACTAAACTAATAAATAATTTTTAAAAACCTAGACAGTCCAGTCGTAAATTTCAAAACTCAGTTGACTGATGTTACAATAAGCAAATTACGACTGAAAATCAAAATAATTTAAGCATCTTTTACAACAAAAAATGATGTTCTTAATATGGATAATATGGATCTTAAATATCGTTACGGCTTCCGCCCAAGTTTCAAGTTCGCCTCCAGTTCTGATTTGGGGAATCAAGACGTGAGTAATTGTTATAAAACTAAAATATAAGATTTCCTTTAGCAGTTTGTATACTTTGCAGTCCTAAACTTAAGACAATTTTTCGCCTTGTTACAAACAAACAGTTTTACGGACTAATGAAGAAAATTCAGAAGGAGCACATGATTGTTATGTATTTTGCATCTGAGGTATTTCTATGGAATACACAGCTCTCCTGACTTGATTTTAAATAATTTTTCCCTTTAACTAAGCTCTCCGCCAAGGACCTTAACTGCGAGCCGTGTTTTCCCAACTTAATGCTAATCAAAAACATGAACTATTACAGTCAGGTGGAGGAACCGCTTAAGGCATTGCAGAGAGTCAGCCAGAAAACCAATGAAATCATCTGGCACAAGCTCCTGATCACAAACCAAACGGACTTAAAGCTGGAAACGAAGATGCCATGTCAACCGGGTCGAATTCATGCCTTTGACTTTCAAGATCGCAACCGATTAGCTCATGGTAATTGGAAAATATTACTTACCATCCTAAAATATTTCAATAAATTCCCAACATTTTTCAGACTATGCCATGGGAGTGTCTAACTCACAGTTTGACAACTGTCCCGTAGTCCAGGCTTACACCGCCCTCAAGGAGGAGAACCTGGCTTACCAGCGTCGCAAGGAGCAATCTATTATTATCAGGACTCGGAAGAATGAAAGTGACATGGCTCCCCATCTTAGCTTCATTAGTACCAGAAGTAACAATGAATTAATCGTCCTGCGCTGCAAGCAGGCCATCCTCGCCTTCAACCGTATCCTGTTGTCGTACAGAGAAACTGGAAAATCGCCCCACATGGTGCGCACGAACCTGACAGTCAGGCGGAATAATCAAGCCATGCAGGTGGGCACATACAAAGAGCCTATTGATCTGAGCGCCGGCTTGGTGCTCGTACTGGACACGGCCTTCAGTCCGATTGTTATTGAGGTGCTGCCGGTGAAGGGGAATTGGTACCTTACCCGCGTCATTATCAACGATACTACCTTCTATCCGAAGGACCTCATCTTCTTTAGCGACGATTTCAGTCTGTGCTGCAGTGAAGTGAACTTCTTTGCCTGGGACAAGTCGCTACTGAGCCTGACCGACTTTCACTTGGACATCATAACTTCGGGTGAGTAACTGTTACTCAAGTTTCCTAAATTATCCTAGGATTTGTAGGTTTATCTTTTTGTTTTTTCTCTTCCTCAGCCGATAAAAGCGGAATGTTGCTACAATACCAGGCAAAGCCATGCTGGAGTACCTCCAAGTTTTTAACACCCACCCTGGCCCAGACCCTGATCGTCATGTTCCTCTTCGTGGGGATCTTCAGTATCGGCATGGTGTTCATCACGAACATAGGACGGAACGAGCTGGTTCAGGTGGCTGCCGAGCCGGATCTGTACATCAAGACGGATCAATAAGGCGACTGGTGGAATGGCAAACTTTATAAGCCGCCCTCGCGCACGCTCTTTGATGCACATGCGACATACTCTACACACATTCAGCTAATTCACTTGCTTACAATTCTAATCGCTTGGGGGGCACTGATGGGCTCGGTGGGGCTGGTGGGGGTCAGAGATCGTAATAATAATGTCATTGTCGCGTTCCTTTATTCTCCGTTTTGTATTGTCATACCGATTCCACCCGTAGTGCCCGCTCCCGGGGCAAAACAAAGAGGTATCCGATAAGGCGTAAGGCACAAGTTCTTTGAGAGATATGTCCAAAATTGTATTTGCACGTGGGCCAAAGCTGCGAGAGTGGGAGAGCCAGAGCGAGTTGCCTCTGATCCTAACGATAGCCGGACTCCCTGAGGTTTTATGGCCTGATAAAGCTTTATCAGGCTTCGATTGGACAGCAGCGGCAGGCGGCCCGGAATTTTGAATTTCACTTCTCAGTTTCGCTCGCGCCTCGATTCGGTTCGGTTGCCACCTGTCCCGGAAGGCACTATCTCCGCTACACGGCATCGATATCACTGGGGACCTGCTGGTTCCTTGGAAAAGGAACTCCAACAAACGGCAATTGAATTAATCGTACGAGTGCCGCCGCCGATTAGATTGTGCTGCAAACTAGACGAGTGACTATTATTCGGCATTCGATAATATGCGCGTTATATAGGCAACGGCAAACCCTCCAGTTGAGTCGAGTAACGTACGTACACCTGTCTGGTAATCAAATCAAATAATTGTGGCGATATCTTCAGTCTGAGTTTTGGTCGGCATTCGACGATCGACATTGGGGTAGTTTCGCCATGCGGAAGGAGTCTCTGTGGGGAATTTCATAAGAGGTCCTTGGGCGAGATCTTAAGATCTATGAGCTTTGAAGAGATGTCTGAAAGTGCTTTCATTATTAATTTATTAGGAATTTGTTTTGTTTGATTAACTAACTTAATGTGAAGTGATTTATTGGAAAAAATCGAAAGATGTTGGTGTGATTTCGACTTGCGGTTATAAGCAATCCTTGGGGGATCTCCTAGAAGTGCTATCGAAGGTTTTTCAGTATTGATTCCTTAGGGATTTATTTTGTTTGATTAATATATTTCTTTGGAAATGTTTGCGAAGAACAATAATAATCAATAATAATATATTTTCCCAAAATCAAAGAATTATTTATATGTGACTAGGTTTAAGTACAATTAAAAGCTTACCTTTTCTATTATAAAACAGATCAATACTGATAAATAATACATTACATTATTTATTTGAAGAGGAATAAGTTATCCCAATTTCATTTTTGATATTTCAAAGCTATATTTCTTTAAAATCATTTCCTTTTTTAAAAGCCAGAGCAAATCCTTGCAACTTATGAGCCTCACAACTTGTATATTTTTTAACTAATCAGTCACTTCAGTGTTTTAAATCATAAATGTTGATAAACAGCGACCTAGGAGTACTATCGAAATGTCCGATTTTTGTTATTGTTTTGACACAACCAAAATAGATGGAAAGCAGACAGCTTATAAGGTAGCCATGAGTTCTTCTGAGTCACAACAAAACGTGGTTTCATGCTGTAATTAATCAGCTTCAAATCAATAACATGATAAGCCTGGAATTACATTATGGAATGCATAATTGTGGCCTACGAATCTATCAGTTTGTACGTTCATTAAACTGATTTTTTCGGCGTAAAATTTTACTGATACAATATCAAACAAGAAAGGAAACAAATATCGGGAAGCCGAATTCGTATACCCTAGCAGTTTGTCCAAAATCAAGCATAGCTCAGCCAAAAAAGCATCAAATTCGATTTGGAAAGTTTTGCTATGCTTGTATTTTCTAAGTTAACAAATCTGCATACTACATTTAATTTTTGAAGAACCGAAAATTTTGGTCAATTTTTGAGAATTTTAATGATGTAACTAACCCCTTATCAAACTTTGTAAAAATAGCAATAAAAATTGTTTTCTTCCGGAAATGTCTAGAAAGACGCGCCTGTTGATGCTGATCAAGAATATATATGGTTTATGGGGTCGAAAATGAGTCCTTCACTGCTTTGCAAGCTTTTAACTTAAATTATAGCCCCCTGCAAAATGTTAAAATTCCGTGGAATTTTTTTTGCTTTCCCTGAATAAAGTTCTTTTGGGTCAGATTGCTTGGCATTAAGCGACCCCTCCCGATGATAAGTCTGTGGACGGATTACCAAGCATTTTCCGCAGATGATACGCTTTGTTGTTGATCCAGAAACTCCCTCCCTTCCGATAAGATATCTTTGAAGGCAACGGAATGAGCCTGGTGATTTTTCCAATGGCATGATCAGTCAGGAAGAGATGTGTGCCAGTGGTCATCGTTATGCGGTTAAAATAGCCAGTTGTATTTGCTCCCCAATGGCCATATAGATATCGTAGTATATTTGGCAGCCGCAAAACAGGTTTATCTAATCGCCCCGGCCTAGACCCAGTGTGTGTGATCTTGAGAAGGCGCCATTATCGTTACTTAATCAATAATACTCCGAATTTCCCTATCTCCGCAATTCGACGGCTTTTATAAGCCCTAAACGGTGTCTCAAGATTTGGAGATTTCCAGAGTCACGATTACGGGAGTGATTTTCAATTAGCAGAGAGCATGGCGAAATTCAATTGGTACTGGGGATGGCTTTTCCTGGTAACCCTTTTCTTTAATGTATCCAATGATTTACAACTGTGTTCAATACCTTTTCCAGACAGTGAGCCCTCTGTCAGCTATCTGACACAATCTTATCGCTTGCCATCGCCGATGATTGGTTGAGACCCCAGACAAGACAATAGCATCTTCACCTTCCAAGATAAGGAATTCAAGATGCCGGAAACGAAGCGCAGGGGCTCAAACCCCCCACCCGGTCACTACCTGTGCGGCATGGCCAACTGGCATCCACAGTGGCTGCAGAAATATGCCACCACCAAGATGTTTATGGCCGTCTATGGGCTATTGGGCACGATCCAGGCCATGTCCTACATGTACTTTATCGTCACACTCACCACGCTGGAGAAGCGCTTCAAGATTCCCAGTCAGACCACGGGTAAGATCCTGCTTGAATACTTATATAATTAATTTAATTAAATAATTAAATCTTTCAGGAATCATTCTCAGCGGCAATGAAATCTCGCAGATCATGCTTTCCCTCATCCTCTCCTACATCGGTGGCCAGCGCAATCGTCCGCGCTGGATAGCCTGGGGTATTGTCTTTTGCGGCTTGTCCTGCTACATTCTTGTCCTGCCGCACTTTATCTACGGAGCTGGGCACGAAGTGCTGCAGTTCACCAAAGAGTACCAGGATAGCCTGCTGAATAGCACCTCTGGCGAGGGATTGCCGCTGTTGGTGAGTATTATATGGTATATTCGAGTGGAAATCCTAATCAACTTGATCCTGGATCCCCTGTAGAATGTCAGCGCTGCCCAAAGCGAGCAGCTGTGCGGCGTGGGAAAAACGGAAGAGGGCTGCGACGACCTCTTCACCTACGTGCCTCTGGTGCTGATCTTTCTCTCTCAGTTTGTGCTGGGAGTGGGCAACACCATGTACTACTCGCTGGGACAGACCTACCTCGATGACAACACCAAGAAAACCAATACTCCCCTGATGTTGGCGGTGGCCATGGCCCTGAGAATGATTGGTCCCGTCGTAGGTTTCCTGTTTGGTAAGATTGTCAAGTCTATTAAATTGAAAATTAAATAAATTTCTCATCTTTCCAAACCAAGGCTTCATTTCGCTAAACACCTTCATCGATCCCAGCAAGACCCCACTGATCGACAACAAGGATCCACGCTGGCTGGGCGCCTGGTGGCTGGGTTGGGTCATCCTTGGCACTCTCATGTGCCTCTTCTCTGGTCTGATCGGACTCTTCCCCAAGCAGCTGCCCAAGGCCAGCGATCAGGGCAGACCCAACTCCCATTTGCCTCTGGCTCTGCGCCAGACAAAAGAGGAGCTGAAACGCGAGGAAAATCTCTCGCTGAGCAGCCGCTTCTCTTCGAATGCCGCCCTGGACAACATTGGAGCAGCGGGGGCCACCACGGAGTTGCCCAAGCTGAAGGACTTCCCGCGGGCACTAATGCGACTGCTGCGCAACAAGCTACTGATCTTTAACATCACCTCGGGCGTCTTCTACATCCTGGGAGCCTCCGGCTTCATGACTTTCCTCACCAAATACATGGAGGTGCAGTTCCACAAGAATGCCCAGAGTGCCACTGTCGTAAGTAGAATTTGGGAAGCTGATACCATTTGTTATTTATTAATTAAATTCTTGTATTTTAGATAGTTGGTCCTGCCTCTATTTTGGGCATGGTTGTGGGTCTAATTGGCTCTGGTCTGGTCATCTCCAAGAAGAAGCCACATGTCAGCAAGGTGCTCATGTGGAATGTGATAGTGGGTGGCGTCTACATCATGGGACAGATCTCCTATGCCTTCCTCTACTGCCCGGATACCTTCTCTATGACCCATGTGGGAGAGTAAGTGGCCCAAACTATCACCTTTAAAAAGGAATTCTCTTTTGATCCTTTTCATTTCCTCAAGGTTAAACCTCACAAGGACATGCAATACAAACTGCTCCTGCGATGGAATCAGCTACACACCCGTCTGCCACGAGCCTACAGACACCACATTCTTCTCCGCCTGCCATGCAGGCTGCCGAGGATTCAATGCCACGACCAAGGTGTACGAGGACTGCAGCTGCCTCGCCGATGTGACACCGCCTTCGAGTGCAGCCCAACGGTTCCTGAGACTCATGGATCCCGTCACTACTATTGAGCCCGAAGTGGACCTGGAGAGGACCACGGATTACCTGCTGAGCGGAGTACCATTGCTAAACGAAGAGGGAGACTTCGACGAAGAGAGGGTGCTGCCTAGAACAAGGAGATCAGCTCCGGACCAAGTGCTTCGCCCGGGTATCTGCACGCAGAACTGCAACTGGAGCTTCTGGGTCTTCTCCATCACCTCGATGGTGGTCAACTGGTTCGGCTCGTCCGGTCGTGTGGGCAATGTACTCGTAAATTATCGTGCTGTGGCTCACGAGGATAAGTCCTTTGCCCAGGGACTGGCTCTGATGATGATCAGTTTGTTTGCTCTGATTCCGGGTCCCATTATGTTTGGACGACTCATTGATTCCACCTGTCTGGTATGGACGAAGACCTGCAATGGCAATGGCAACTGCCAGCTGTACGATCAGACGCGGTTCAGATACTCTCTGAACTTTTTGTCTTGCGGTAAGTTTCTCTTAGAAGGATATTGTGTACAAAAATTGTAATTATTATTATTTCAGTTCTCACCTTCATTGGAATGTTCTTTGACTACCTGGTTTGGTATTACGGCCGGAATCTGGATATTTATGGCGACAAGGAGGCCAAGGAAGAGGAGCGTATCAACCGAAAGGACAGACCCATTACTCCGCTTCTGGCCAAGAAATCCGACAAGGAGGACTATTAGGAGAGGAATACCATTCGTGATACTCAATTCTAAGGAGTAGCTTCATGTTTCATCCAATTCTAGCATAAGTTTCTGTACGGAAATACAGAGAACGGGGCAATGCCAAGATTATACAGCCATATGTACAAAACTTCCGCTCTTCGATAGGATATTCGCCATTGGATATTCGCACGATCCAGTGGCCAGTTTCAGTGTACAACTTGTAATTATTTGTATTATACACTAAGATGTATTAATATTATGTATCTTGTCTAGTTTTATAATAATAAACAATAAAAATAAAAGAATTTATTTGAATTTAAATAAAAAGAGATAAGCATATTAAAATGAAATCACCAACTATTGAAATCAATTAAAAGAAAATAAAAATACTTTGATAAATTGAATTTTTATTTTTATTTCCAGTCCGAAGCTCATTACGCATTGAAGGAGTCATTTCCGACCCCATAAACCATATATATTCTTGATCAGCATTAGCAGGCGCATCTTTCTGGCTAAGTCCGGAGGAAAAAAATTTTTAATCAATTTTTTCAAAATTTTATAAGGGGTTACATCATTAAAATTCTTAAAATTTGATAAAATTTTCAATTTCTAACTAAGTATGCAGATTTGTTAACCTTATAAAAACTAACATCACACCGCTTTCCGAATGCAAATTAAGGCATTTTTGACAGAGTTATGCCTTTTTTATACCCTTGCAGGGTATTATAATTTCAGTCAGAAGTTTGCAACGCAGTGAAGGAGACGTTTCCGACCCTATAAAGTATATATATTCTTGATCAGCATCAACAGCCGAGTCGATCTAGCCATGTCCGTCTGTCCGTCTGTCCGTCCGTCTGTCCGTCTGTCCGTCTGTCCGTTCGTCTGTCCGTTTCTACGCAAACTAGTCCCTCAGTTTTAAAGCTATCTGAATGAAACTTTGCATATAGTCTTCTATATACTCTCACTGCTATATATGTCGGAACGGGCCGGATTGGACGACTATATCATATAGCTCCCATACAAATGATCGATAAATTTTTAGAAAAAAATTTTAACTTTGCTGTTTATCAACATTTTGGCACTATTTTTCAGATATGGCCATTTTATATTATTTCAGAATTTCGGTAAAAAGTTCATGAAAATCGGACGACTATATCTTATAGCTGCCATAGGAACTATAGGGAAATTAATACGAAAAAAATTATAACTTCGTTGTTTTTCAACCTATTTTTATCTACTCTGAGATATAAGCTTATTTTATTAGTTCCGAATTTTGGTATAAATTTTATGAAAATCGGACAACTATATCATATAGCTGCCATATAAACCGATCGGTAGATGTAGAGAAAATGTAAAACTGGGAATGTAAAACTGTAACTGTCAAACTCTAAACATAATAAGTATAGGTAAAATGTTATGAAATAATATCTGCAAGGGTATACAAACTTCGGCGTGCCGAAGTTAGCTTCCTTTCTTGTTAGTTTTTAATTTGCTATTTTCCTCTATTCAATTACAGACTTTCCATCGTCATTGCCATCGCCATCGCTCCTAGTCATCAGTATCAGTAGACCTGACACCCACCCTGGACAAGAACCAAGGGAAAGGACCAACGACACACGCAAAAGGATGGTGGATAAGGGATGGGAATGGAGGAATAGGGATCAGGAATCAGGGATAAGGAGAGAGCACCGCCAGAAGCCAAAAGTCAAAGTATCATGGCAGTTTCGATCCGGAATGTTAATCTGTCATAAATAGGACTTCCAGTCAGGTCTGCCGGCTACTTTTACAACAACAGCAACGAACACAACAAGCTACATTTTAATTTTAAAATACTTTATTTTATTCTATGTTAATGAACCTAAATAAAAAAAAAAGAAATACATTATTTTATATTATTTTGTTTTACTTTATTTTTCCTATATAAGAACAATGAAATGAGCATCACTAAGTAAGTGAGATGGCATTTAAATGCAAAATAGCTAGATGCGCATCACTGCAGTTAAGCCTGATTTTATAGCCTCCCAATATGGCAAAATAGCTAGATGAGCATCACTGCCATATAGCCCTATTTTATTGCCCCTCCAATATTGCAAAATACAGCCAGATGAGCATCACTGATGCACATGAGCATCACTGATGCAAGTGAGCAAAATTTCTAAAATTTGGCCGCTTTCCAAACTGGGGTCACAGGCGAACAGAAACCAGCAGCAAGCAACTGAAAACTGGTATAAACTGTTATAAAAACTTTTGGGCAAAAATAATAATTGATATAAACTGTTATATTTCATTTTATGCATTTATACCTATTTGTTGCCGACAACAATAGCTTGATGGCAACAACAACCCCTTTACAACAACATCCCTGCAGCAGCCCATACAAATTTCTGAAATTTTCCATGCAAATTGCCCGTTTCCCAAATTACGGTAACAGGCGAACAGAAACCAGTAGCAAGCGACTGAAAACGGGTATAAACTTTTATAAAAAGTCCAAGTTTCAAACCATTGATCTTGGAGTAAGCGAAGACTCAAACCAGATGTGACCATATTGTAAATTTTTTGGCTAAAATGTTGCTTAAATGCACCTGGGCACACTGAAACTGACTTTGCATCACTGATGCTCATCTATCTATTTTGTCCCAATAAAGAAATATAGCTAGATGAGCATCACGGCTATTAAGCCTGATATATTGCCTCCCAATATTGCAAAATAGCTACATGAGCATCACTGATGAAAGGTCTGATTTTATAGCCTCCCAATATTGCAATACAGCCAGATGAGCATCACTGCCATTAAGCCCGATTTTATAGCCTCCCAATATTGCAATATAGCTAGATGAGCATCACTGATGGAGATGAGCATCACTGATGCAAGTGAGCAAATTTTTTCATTCGATTTGGCCGCTTTCCAAACTGGGGTAACAGGCGAACAGAAACCATCAGCAAGCAACTGAAAACTGGTATAAACTGTTATAAAAACTTTTGGGCAAAAATAATAATTGGTATAAACTGTTATATTTCATTTTATGCATTTATACCTACCTATTTGTAGCCGACAACAACAGCTTGATGGCAACAACAACCTTTTTACAAAAACATCTATACAGCAGCCCATCCAAATTTCCGAACATTTCCATGCAAATTGCCCGTTTCCCAAATTGGGGTAACAGGCGAACAGAAATCAGCAGCAAGCAACTGAAAACTGGTATAAACTGTTATAAAAAGTCCAAGTTTCGAACCATTTAGGAGCCGGCGCAAGTAAGCGGAGACTCAAACCTTTTGAATCCAAATTTAGGTGTTATTTTACAACTGCACCTGGTCACACTGAAACTGATCGTCGTTAAATTCAAATTCAAATTTGGCAGTTAGCTTCCTTTCTTGTTAAATATCAAATTAATAAAAAAAATTTATAAAATATAAAAATACTTTAATATATATGTATAATTTTTAAATATCGAAAAATATCGCAATTAACATGAAATGATTATTATTATCACTTTTATAGGTACGATATATCGATTTATTGTTATACAAAAGTCAAAACTGCAATATATATATAAAGTTTCCCGTATTTCCCGATATTCTCTCATCTCCACTTCCCCCAATAAAATAAAAATACACACTGAATTTGGTTCGTTTGGTTTTCATTTGTTTTTTTTTTTTTTTTTTTTATGTTTTTCTTCTCACTTTTATTGATAAAAAATGTTCAAATTTATGCGAATCGTTTTTTTGGTTTTCTTGATTTCATTTCATACGTATATGTATAATAATAATACATTGAAATTTCGTTTTATTTTTCTGTATAAATATTCCCGGTTTGTCTATATAATTTCTATTATTCCGATCTCTCCTATATATTCCTCAGTGGCGTAGTTTTTGACTTTCGTCAGGTGTTTGCTTGTGTACGAGTGTCAGTGTCGGGGGCTGTGGTGTGTGTGTGTGTGGCTTAGTGAAACATTTAAATAAGTTCCCGCGTTGTCAACAATGTTATATCGCACTTACTATTATTACAATAATATGAATTAAGTATCTTTCGAGTTCGATTCGTAGGAGGCTGCTGCGAAAAGCGTTAAAAGCAGGTTCATATCCTTCTCGTTATTAATGCTCTCTCGATTTAAATTACTCGGTTAATTGAATTAACTCAGACAGGGGAGACTATTCAACGTGTTTCTTAAATTGATATTATTTATTCATTTACTTATTTATCCGACGACTCTCTCTTTCTCGTTTTAAAAAGCAACAACTTTTGATTTAAATCATCTGCCAACAAATTGGTAATAATTTGGGGAATAGGTTGGGAAAAATTGTGAATGATTGGAGTGGTGAATGTTTTGAAACCGCCTTGGTCCTGAATCGTGATGAGGGGATTGTAAATGAAATGAAAAATAAAAAAGGCTAGTTAGCTTTTGTGTTTTTGTTTCTGCTTAATAGCAAAAGGCATTTTTATTCTTTCATAAATGGGTTTCGTGCCCTGCGTTAGACACGCACGAATTCTTCAATTAACTAAATTATAAGAATAATCAAAATATTTGTTTCTTGCCGCAAATGAAATGGGGTCTTTTTCAGAGAACATCGAATTTTGAGTAAAGTTAACAATTAGATGCTGAATGTGGCTGTGTGTGTGTGTTGTCGGGTTAAGTTTTTTACATTTTTCCAAGCAACTTGCAATAAAAACCAACTTTCACTTTGAGTTTTTGTTTTTTAGCTTAAACTTAAATTAAAGCATTTATATTATATCGTGTAAAAAAATTGAAAAGAATAGGAAATATAGCATTCCACTATTTTGCAGAATAATTAACAAATTTGCAATTTGAAGGCGCTACAAGGGAAGCTGAATGGGGGAAGGAGGGTTGGGCCTTTTTCGCTTGTACAAATACAAAAATTGGTTTAGCTTGCAGCTTTAGTTTTTAAAAAATTGTCACGACTCTACGCGCGATTTAGGCATGTTTGTGTGTACGCTATTTAATTTAATGCTTACAGTTTATACAAAAAGGTAGTAAACCAAAGGTAAATAAATCGCTCAATATCCTTGAGAGCGGGGCCTCTCCTCAACCAACAAAAATCGTATTAAGAACCTATTAATGCTCCTCTTTCTAGCTCGCGCCCTCTCGCATATGTTTGAGTGGTTTTTGTGTCGTGTATTCATATAAATAGTACATCTTGTTTCGCATTTGGTTGATGCCGAACTTGCCGTTTAGTTTTACACATAATATAGTTTATATTTCGTATATAATGCATTTCTGTTTCTATCTCTCAACTTGGTTCTGTCCGTCCGTCGGTTCGTCCAGCTTGTAAACTAACTTTTCGCTTGCCCTTCTATATAA